TTTTTTTTTATTTAATGTTATAATTATAATAGCAGTAATTATAATTATAGTAATCAATAATTATAATATAGTAATAATGATAATAATCATAATCGAATTAGCAATACATAATAATAATAATAATAATAAGAATAGTAGATAATAGTTAAATAGTTATATTTTTATAAAAATTATCAACTTTAGTTTTGTATTTAAATTTCGTTTTTATTTGTTTCTTTGTAGTTTTGTTGTATGTAGTAAAAAGTGTATAACATTTCTTTTGCTACTAAATTATATGCGCGCATGCGCCTTTGTGTTCTACTACATAGATACATATTTATCTGCTCGACACGCACGCATTACATCCGCTACTTAAACTATGCTTTGTTTATATGTATGTTTGCGTGTACGTATGTTGTATTCTGTTGCTGCTTTTATTGGTATGAAATCTTTGTTTCTTGTTGTTGTATTTGTTTCGCAATTAAAATAATTGTTTTAAGTTTTAAATTAATTTAATTTTATTTTTTTTTTTAATTTTGTATTTTAAGTTAGTTAATTGGGTAGTCTGCAATACCTTTCTCTAAAATTTAAATTTATGTTTACCTTGCCACATGAGTGTGTGTGTGTATGTATGTATATGTGTTTATTTCTATTTTCGTGTATGAATTTATGTATATGTATAGTAGTATTTGTATGTATGCAAGTGTGCTCGCATGTGGAGATTAGTTCGGTGTGTTCACCGAGCTCTCTTTGTCTTGCTTTCTTCACCAATCATGGCGCCTATTTACTTACGATCGATCGCAGCTAATGCTATATCCCTTACCTGTTTCTTGCTGATTTTTAAATTTGTAAAATTTTCATGATTTTCTTTTATACAAGCAATTTGCTTTACTTAAGCTTTATTTTATTATGTTTCGCTATTTTCCAATGATTTCTACTTAAATTATAAAACTAGTTTTCTTTGTTTAAATATATATAAGAATTTGTAAAGCCTGTTTTAAAAGCTTGCCTATAACACCTGCCTTTGCTCCGCTGCAGCCAGTATGCCCCTATTCGCTTTTTCCAGGCTGCAATTTTCTCGGATCAAAAAAAAGTTTTCTTTTGCATTCCTACTCGCATGAGCATTAGCGAGCCAATGTCGCTGTTATGTTTTGCAGCTTTTTGCACAAAATTTATCTACAATCTTAAACACTCTAATCGAACGTTATGTTACTTCGTTTCTTTTAGTTTTTTTTTGTTTGTTTTGTAAGGCTTTGAAGCATTCATAGCAACAATAAAGTTTATCAAATGTTTTTTTTGTTTTTTTTTTTTATAATTTGTTGTTAGCTCATTAAAAACGCATACTTAAAATATGTATGTATTTTTTGTATATGTTTGTAGCTTGCAATATGTATTGTATATGTATGTATGTATGTACGTGTATATAGTATAATAAATTTATTCACTAACAAGCGCCATTTCACGCGTCGTCCTTGTCGGCATTCCACCCAACGCTGACGCTGCCGATGCGGCTACTTCCAATTCTGTGTCTTCGTCTGTCGTCGCACCAAGCGATTTTTTCCTATCCACAAATTGCCCAGTCACTACGTCATCATCATTATCACCATCTGCATCCGGTTCGATGTCGGCATCCGTCACGGCAACATCTACAGGATCTTCTTCCGCCTCGGCGGCAAAGGACACTTCAGCGGGATTACTATCACCATTCTGCTTTTGTGTTGAGGCATCTAACTCATCACTATTGTTCGTGACGATTTCGGCGGCGACGTTGACGGCGGGTTGGCCTCCCGTTGGAGGCGCTGGCGCTGTTGTCACCACCGCCGGCTCTTCCTCAGGTATATCTTCAATAATACTACGACTGCCTGACGATTTTGTATCGGCATCTTCTTCTTCGGACGATTTACGTCGCAAAATAGGATCTGAGGCGCGTAGCGAATTCTCAGATATGCCCACACCCTCGCCACTGGGGCGTAACACCAGGTACAACAGTATATCGGATAGGGAAATAATGCCAATCACTTTCTGATTCTCATCGACGACAACAAGCCGATGCACTTCGGCGCGCACAATGCGTTCCATAATTGTATAGAGTGTGTCATCTAAACGGCACTTGTGTACGCCCTCGAACCATTCATTGCGGTGTTCGTTTGCTTTGCGCAGCGAGACATCCAAGTCGTTGTAGGTCTTCTCGGCGGCCAAATTCTGCAAAGAAGAGCGAGGTTATAAGTGAGTGTGTGTAAATATTTGACATAGGCATATGGTTAAACAATTTATTTAAAGCATCTAATCCTGTCACGGATAACTGATAAAAATAACTACATTCTTAAGACAGTGGGGCCTATGTACCAGAATCGGATTCACATTTTGTTAAGAGCAGCAGTTGGGGTTATATTGGTAAAAACAAAGCGCCCTTTGCCAAAATATTACTTGTAAAAGTAATTAAGAGTAAAAGATAGAGATTAACAGAACATAAAAAGGAAAAGAAACTCGCTATCGACTAATGTACCGAAGACGTGAAGATGTTCACGAAAGCTGGTTAGATGAGGAGATGGTGAGACAATTACACCAAATCTTCCTTCTGAAAGTTGCTTCAGCAATGGTTTTAAGAGCTGTTGAGCCGAACTTCGTGATTAATAATCGGAAAACGAACCAATAAGACAGACGCCCACCAGTAATGACGCTTGTGGTTTGCTTAGCTTCAGAAGGCTCTTAGACCATCTCCAATCAATTCGTGGTAAAGGCCCAGTCACTTTGAGTTCCAAAATTTCCGAACAATACTAGCTGAGGTCAAAAAATGTCCATCTGTCTAGTAGAGGATCAAATGTGACGTACATACATAGGTCGGTAAGATCCCACAAAGTTGCTGTTGTAATAAGTAGAATACAAATTCCCCGAACAGTTTTTGGGGAATGATGCTGGAGTAACAGTCCTTCCCCAGATACCGGTTGCGTAGATACGGCAGCCGTGGGAGACCGACTATCTTTTCTCTGTTGACAACTCCTCAAGAGCGAACTGTTTTGTTAAGTCGTTATCCACTCTTTTATTTGAAATCTATGTGGTCTGGGAGTTGAATAAGCGCGATAGCAAAGTAGAGCTCGGGCTCTTAAAACCGTGTCCAAAAATGGGTCAGCCCATCGGATCGGCTGTGTCCCCGGTGGCCGGCTCCTCGTTTGCTGTAGCCAGGCCCGCTTTGGGTGATGGTTGGGAGACCCTTGGTTCGGCGGGGGTCTCGGCTGTGGTCTGATATGGCGAACAGCTGGTCGTTTGGCTTGGGCACAACATGGGCGAACATTTTGGTATCGGAAGATTTTGTTACCAAAAAATAACACCACTTCTTGTCACCTTGGTAACAATTTAATCTATTCAGCAATTCAGCTATGAAGTTTTGTATAAATTCTGGTGCTGCATACTTCACGGGGCAATATTTTATTGCCTGCTTATGAGATAGTAACAAAATTTACCAGTGCGCAGAATGCGAAAAGGGTTTAAAAATGACCAGGAACTTTATTTTTCGGTAACACAATTTTTATTACCAACACAGAATAGGCCTGTTTCTTGTCTCGAAGAGAACCTGTCTTCTGTCGCAAAATGCATTGATCTGAAGCCTCACGTTATAGTACTTATCCATCAGATCTCAGTTCCTACCATGCCTACGAACGCCAGCAAATTGAAGCTCGCCGGAAAGTCATTAAATTTTTGCCAAGTATTTCGATTCGAAGGCAGTTTAAAATTTTTGTCAAGTGTTACATTATATACATATCTATATAATTGCATCGAGACAATATTTTGTTCCAAAGTTCTTGACCTCACCCCCTTTCTTATCCACTAGATCTCAGTTCTTTTCACTCAGTTATCGTATAATTCTAATAACAGTAAATTAAAGCGCGCCAAAAATCATTAAACTTTTGCTAAGGGAAGTATTTTGATTATTCCAGTAGAACTATTAAGAAATTGTATTGCCGAATTTATATATGTATGTAGGTGTCACCGAAAAATGTAAAAAAGTAACTCCTATATTTCGCCAAAATGGTGTTTTTTGAAAATGCCTGGCAAAATGTTTTTTATACTCAGGGGGTACGGCGAACTTTTTTTTGATTGCTTGTAAGGTGGTACGTTTTAATGCGTAGTTTTGATTTGGAAGATGAGAGGACACTCGCTCGGTATTTCGGGAAGGCAGCTGCGCTCAAATAATAAGTCGATTGCCTTGGTTATATTTCCAACTGGTGTTGATGGTGGCTTCTTATAATTAAACACATTCATAGAGTGACAGTTTATGGAGCTATTCTAAATACTACAATTTTTTAAGGTATTGTAAGCCTTTTAGTGCCGGCTAATATGATGATAAAGAGAAATTCTGGTTCCACTACAACTGTATCATGATTCTCTATAGAATCTATTTTATAATTGCCTCTAAAAATTTCCCCACAAGTGGGTGCCTTTCTGCATTCTTTGACATGCTCTTTGCATTTTGTCATACTTAATATTTAGAGGTTTTCGCATATTTTTTTGTGATACTTACAATCACATCGAATTTCGCGTAAATATCCACCAGCCTTCCTTCAGAATCGACTAGCGGTAAAGCCGATACTCGTCGTTCCACAAATTTCTTCAACGCCATTATAATGCTTGTGTTCTCGTCCGCAGTCTCAATGTTGTCGTATGTGCCGATCCTTAAATCACGTAGGGTCTTCTGCATATACGAGGGCTTTGGTAATTCGTTAATCTAAAAATGGGGGAAAATCGCAAGTGAATCAATGGTGAATACAGAGAATACCTTAAAACTTAACAATTGTGTACTTGAATGTATAAATTATAGGCATTTTATACTAAGTATTTAAATTCCTTCTGGGTTTCATATCACAAATTCTATGTAATTGTGGCATAGCTAATTAATTATTTACTTCAACATAAAAATACATTCAATTCCAAATCTCATTATTTAAATATGACAAATTCGAATTAGTGTACGTACATATAAGAAGAGGAACCTCAGTATGCGCTTATGTGTTAATATGTACAAAACATTGCCTGTCGCCGGATCAATGACCGGCAATCGATGTATGCGATTGTGTATGAGAATTTTAATGGCATCATAGAGTGAAGCATCCGGTCCGATGCTAACCAATGGCATAACTTGGTTATGCAACACACCTGTAAGTAAAAAATAAAATATCAGTAATCTGATCTAACTAAACAGTTGTGAAAATAATTAAATGGGCACATGTATGTTCATTAGTGTGGCACTTTTTTTCGAAGAGAGCTCGGACTTTCGATCTCACCCCCTAGAAATATGCTAATGGGGGACCTATAAAAAATAGTGAGTATGTATTAATCTTATTACATTAAACGAGCAATTCTTGTATATATATATATATATATATATATATATCCATAGGGTTCTCGAAAACGGCTCTAACGATTTTGGTGAAATTTTTGTGCACAGATAATATTTTGGATTTTAAGATTATCTGAATAGGCAATATCTCCGAGAAGACTCGTATAAGGTTGTCACCTATTCGAAATTAGTTACAAATTAATTACAACATCATAATATGTATATAAAATGGAAGGTATTTTAAAGATCCCTAATTCAAAAATATGTTTAATAAGGTTGCCACCTATTTTGAATCGCATATTTATTTAATTTTTGTTTAGAAAAAAAAGGTAAAATATTACTATTCATGGGTACCAAAAGAAGGTTCTTAAACAATGCTTTCCCTATACACAAAATGTTATATCTTAGAATAATAGTGTAAGGTTGCCACTTATTTTCATTTCTACACAATTTATCTAAAACATCGCAATATGGATATCACATGAAAGGTATTGTTGAGAACTTTGGTCAGAAAATATTTTCCACCAGGGTTGCCACACTTCCTTGCAATACAAATTTTTATCTTGTTAATCTCAATCAAAAATTTTTTTTTTATGTATACATAGTACACATACACTTCAAGATATGTACCATTCATTCCATCATATTTCGGAGTTCGAGTTGCCACCAAAATTTTAGAGTAAGCAATTTACTTAATAAATATGGAAATCCAATTTTTTTCTGTTTATTTCCAAAATATTTTTTTAAGGCTATCCAAATCTTGAAAACTTTAAAAAGTATATGCACTCCGGGTAAAGCTCAGTCAATCTGGAACTAAATTGTTACATAAACAATTGGGTATTTTTTCTGGAAGTCTGCTAAAGAGGAAACAAGTTTTACGATTGAAAAATATTGATTTTTCAAGGATTATATGCTATTTATACGAAAATAGTTTTCCTTTTCCCATGTAAAATACAAGGAAAACCTTGAGCGTTTTGAGTCATCTCCAAATCTTTTTGGATTAACCTAAAACTTTGTATAGTTTCGTCTTTAAGCTATTCACATTTCTAGGGCATGAGACCGTGAATCCAAGCACTTTTATTTTGCTCCATATAACTGAGGGCCACCCTAATGTACATACATGTTTGTATATACTTATAAACACACATACAATATTTATGTAACGCGTAAATGCCACTTACTTCGCCATGTGTCCAATTTGTGCTCTTCCAGCTGTTCCATTGATGCATTCGGTGATTTATAATACATTTGTAGGATTTTGATGAAATCCGTTATGGTTAGCATACCAACAAATTGTTGTTTCTGTGAGTCCCAAAGTGGTGCTGCACGCACACCATTGTATACCAGCGCATAGAACGCTTTCTTCACCAGCAATTGTGTATCGAAGACAACCAATTTAGCAGAGGTCGGTATCAGGTCATAGCACTTATGGAAACGGAAGAATTTCACGAAAATCTGTGAATCGTCTTCTTCTGTAAGAAAAAAAAGGCAAAAAAGAATATGAATTATATGAGATACCATTGGATTTTTATTGTAATTCAGAGCGTAGTTTTTAATAACAATAATAGAAAATTCCTTGCGGGTGAGAGCATTATAATTCCGACTTGACTTTTTATGGACCACTCTATTATACATATATGTATGTACATACGTACACATGTATGTAATCTTTTTATACTCTATAGGTTTGTTTTACACACTTTCCGGGTTGTTTCGGTATTTCGGTAATTAGAGCGTAAAAATAAGTAACTCTCTCTATAAAAAAATTCGTAGTTTTAGCGTAGGTGTGGTAGATATGGGCATACATTAATATCGCACCCCAATTCAAAAACAGTCACAACTCAAAAAATTCCAAATGTTCAGGAGAAGCCAAATACTTTTTAAAACAGAAACAGTCATAATAGTATTTGTTTTTCAGATAAAGAGGTTAGTGATGAAAAAGAATTCTTAGCGAATGTTTTGTGGAAAAAATAAATTTGAAACATTTTGAGTTGTGATTGTTTTTGATTTAGGGTGCGATACGTATAAGATTAAACAGGGGAAACCAAAGAAACATCTCTCAAGAAAAACAAAAAATTCATTAAAAAAAAATGTTTCTCTATTAAAATTTCTCAAATCAGTTTGCAGCTCTCAAGAAAATTTACAGCAACGGCAAAGTACTTTTTCACGCAACAGCAAGAACGAAACATATTTGTTGACATTTTTCTCGATAAGTGATTCAATTTTGGCGATTTTCAAATGCTCGTGAATTATTTTTTATTTTCAAATCTCACATTTTCCTATCTTTTGCTGTTATGCCGGATTCCATTGTGCATTAAATGCGAAAAAACCAAGAACATAAAAAAATCCATTAAGTTCCTTTCCACGTACCATTTGATAAACTAGATTTTTTCTGATCATTTCAATGCCTGGTGGAAATTTGGCATCAGATTGTGTAACTTTGTCAAAATGATTAAAAAATTAGACTAAAATTAAACATACTTTTGTCCATTCAATCAAATTGTCAAGAAAAAAATTAAACTAAGTGTAAACCTGTACAGTTTATCACTTAGATGTCCACCCTCTTGAAATTTTGCAGCATATTTTTACAAATATTAATGAGTTTCTTAGTAAAATTTAGCAAAACGGCAACAATAACGAAGAATTATGATTGACTGATTTTTGCTGTACTATTTTCGAATCCCTCTTCTTTTCTTACAGAATTGTTAATAATAACTTGGGCAAGCTAAAAAAAAACTTGTGAATATTGTAACACTTTTAAGAAACCTACTCACTTTTAGCCGAAATAACGACTTGTATTTAGTTGGGAATTGCGGAAAGAAGATTTTGCAAGAGTTTTCGAAAATTAAGTTCACTTTTAATTTCAATAGAAAGTTTTTCAGCGATCATACTCTGCGGCTTATGCTGAGTTTTCACTAGGCATTCAAATAAAAACAAAAATGACGAAAATATTTTTTCAATTGACATGTGTCAACAGAACTAATGACTATTTTTTATCGCAGTGAATTTTTTCATGCCCAGCTTTGTCATTACAAGTTTTGTAACTTAATGTCCATTTGAGCAGCGGCATTATATTTATTGAGCTGGTTTTCATTTAATTTCGTGCCACGAACGCTCAATAAGACTTATGCCGGATTTGCACTGGGCGATTGTAATAAGTAAAAATTGTACGATTTATAGAAACAGACTTAATGACGTTTGATGTAAACGCAAGGGTATTGCTCTAACACCCAACTATGTAATCGCTTTCCTTTCACTTAATTCGTGACAGTAATTGTATTTTAGATTTTTTAAACGAATAAATCGGAGATCGATTAATCTAGATTCTAGAAAAATAATTCTTTGCCAAGTTTCGAATTTTATTTTGCAAAAAGGATAAGATTCTAATTAATACGGATACCTTTTCGATATTTGTTTCCGAAATATTTAATTTTTGGCAGAATTATTCGTATGGGAACAAGAAATATCTTATTATAAATTATATCGCTGGAATCGAGCCAACACAGTGAAAATAAATCTCGGAAAATGCATACATAGCTTATTTAGCAAGAAAGTCCCAAATAATAATTATGCAATTCTAGTCGGATATGAATAAATATTTCCACCGCATCTTTCATCGTCATAATTCCGATTTTTAGAATGCTAAATATTTGCTCACTATGGCTGAGTGGTGCGTACTACTACGCCGTATGATCTGGGTTCGATCTCTGGTCTGAGCAACATGTAAATTAGAAAAACTTTTTCTTACAGCGGCCGCCCAAAGGCAAACCTCCGAGTGTATTTCTGGCTTGAAAAGGCTTCTCATAAAATTCATTTTCCGTTCGGAGGCGGCGTAAAACTGTAGCTACCGCCATTTGGATTGTAACATAAGGACACGCAAACCACAATTTGGAGGAGACAAACATGTGCATAGCTAATTTTTAGTTTAGATATGTATAACTAGCCTAAATTTAGTGTATTTAGTGCAACATCGCTTCCCCCCACTGTGCCGCACCTGTTTTGAGTAGCTGCCCCAGACACTTCTTCCACTTCTCCGACACGGTTTCAAACTCCTTTATACTCTCTAGTGGATAGTATTGTTGTGCCCACCAAAGATCTGTGGACTTTGAGCCACCACCGACTTCCAGACGACCGGCATGATTGGAATAGAAATGAAGTTGTAACATGCGGGCAAGAGATGAACGCGTGCACCCAACGGTAAATTAAGTATCAGCAAGACTGCAATTGTAATTTGTGATTGCTGACACGATGGCTATGCTGCTGCTTTTGGCCAGTGTAGAATGTGAAAATGTTGCGCGTTAAAAGCGCAACACTGTTGTCAAAGAAACGGTTTGATGTTACACGCGATAGGCTTGCTGCTGGCTGCTGCTTACGTTGTGTTTGTGGTGGTGAAGAATTGATTAAGTAGCGCATTACCGTTGAATAAGTTTTGATTTTGGAGCTGCTTTGATAAATTGAACTTTACTCAATTTTTTTTTTTTATTAGTTTTAACGACTTTTTTTTTTTTTTCTTTACACTTTTTTGGTGTTAATTTCATCTATGCACTGAGCTCTGAACACTTTCGACGCTTATTTGTCACTAAAAGGAATTTGTTGGTATTTTCAGAAATTTTAGTTTCACGGTGTTTATTTTTGTCGTTAGCTGTGTTTATTAGAATTAATATTTTGTTATGTTACGTTATGTGCTCCCTACGCTTTAATTAAAGTCGAAAATGATATATTACATACATACATACGTATAAAATTGTTTCACTCGCTGCTGTTGGCTGGGCATTAATTTTGTTTGTTTGTTTTATTTTTGCCTTCGTCTCTCCGATCTACATTTCTAACGGTTATTATGACCCATTTAAGTGAAAACGATTGGTTGCTAAATTAAAATTTACATTGTAAAGCAATCACCAAGGGGGAACAAATCGCTTTTGCACGGCATGTTGCCGGTGGTTCCTCTTGACTAGTTGCAGTTAAAAAAAAAAAAATGCAATTAATTAAATTAAAAAAAAAAAAATGAATTGCCTCTTGGCTCAACTCCCAAAATGCAAAAACCGAAGCAAAAGCTAAAGCAATGACGAATAAAACTGTCTTTCGCCCTATTTGCCATGCAACATAGTACATCCGATTTACATACATAAATTTAATTACCAACGTACATATAATTTTTTCTAATTATCACCACCATGCCAATATGCTTGAGGTTTGGCAACACTCGAAAGCATTTGTCAAAATCAACAATAAACATTTTCAACACGCAGGAATATAAACCACAAAAGCTATCAACGTTTATGCGATTTATTTTTATTTTTTTTTTTTGTGTAATTTTTTTGCAAACTATTTTTCGTCTGCTGCTTTTTCTATTCGCCGCTTGTGCATTGCGCAAAGTCCAATGAAAATGAAGTGTAATTTTGCAATTTATTTTAACAATGTGCACCTTGACAAAATGAAAATGAGTACGATCGCCATCGTTTATATGGCACGCGAGAGATCAGCACATTGAATTAAGTACCCGCAACGACCGACATCATTGTATACAAAGCGAGCGGTCTAATGTAATGGGCGGTGCAGTAAAAAGTTGCAAAAAAAAACAACGGAAAGAACGGCAAAAAAATAAGCGAAATAGAAATAGAATAGAAACAGAAAAAAATTTAACAGCTTTTTATGGGAAAAAACTAGCACGTAAGGTTGTAAATCTCGTCCATTTTTAAAGCTCAAAACCACCCAATACCCAATGCAGGCGGCTATAGATTTTACCTAAAATATACTACATCAACTTTACTTCATTATATTTATTTTGTCGGAACCAGTTGACGATGATTTCGTGACTAGCTTCAAATTACACCGAAATGATCCCGAACGAGGGCTAAAATTGCCCTTAAATGGTTCTGAAATAATATTGAAATTTCTAGCCCCAAAATAACGCCGAACTATTCCCGAAATGATTCCGAACTATTCCCGAACGGCTCCTGATATAGTACTGAACTAGCCTCGAAATGGTCCAAAAATAGTCCCGAAATGTTTCCCAAATAGTCGTGAACTAGTCCCGCAATGGTCCTGAACAGGTCCCTTAACGGGCCCGAAATAGCCCTAAAATTATCCTGACTAATCTAGTATTGAACTAGTCCCGAAATGGTCCTGAAATAACTCCGAACTAGTACTTTTTTCGGAAAATCGGGGACCGGGAGGACGAGAACTCGATTTAATTAAAATTTTTTGATCCACACCAATTTGTAATTTTAACTTACCGTTGATTTTAGGTATTTTTTCTTGTTGCTGAAAGTTTTGCTCTTGTTCTTCATACAACGTATGTTCGAAATTGTTTCGATGTGCACGAAAATGTGCATGCCCGTTAAGGGGAAAAAATCACCAATAATCAACGGTAAGCACTTGCATATTGAAACTTGTACTTTACTGCATACTAAAATTTTTTCTAAACCGGGTAATTAGGGAGTGTTAAAATTTTAATAAAAATGTGTAAAAA